GGGCTGTCATAACAAGGGGGTGGCTATGGAATTGATTGGTAATGTCTGCCACAGGAACAAGAGCAGGGAGTGGCAGCTCATGGGCCAAATATTCATTATTCCTAATCAATCTGCAAATACTTGAGGGCCTTGGCTTCAAAGGGCCCCTTGGGGCACTGTGCAGTGTGGGTTAGTCAGCCAGCTTCCTGACATTCACAGGAAGAGCCCCAAAAGCCAGCACCTGCCGGTTGTATTTCCTCTTCCATCTGGGTAATGAGGGCCCCTCAGCAGCCCTGTGGGCAGAGACTCAACTGCACAAACAGAATCTGCGGCCCTGGTGAAGGCGTGATTGGCCGTGTCCCACAGCTGTCTTTCTTAGCAAGCAGGCAACCTTGATCCTCAATGAACTGGGAGGGCTGAGATCCTCTTGTTTCTTTTCTTTTTTTTTTCTCCTTCTTTCCTCCCTCTCTCAATCTCTGAAAATCTTAATATCTCTCTCTCTCTCTCTCTCTCTCTTCTTTAAGCAGGAACATAATTTTTTAATCTATGGACAAGAGAAATTAACCTCTGTCACCTAGGACAGAGCTTTCTTTCTGGGGGGTACCTAATATAGGTATACAACCTGGCCTCAGGAAGATTTAAAAGTAAGTATAGCATGCTAAGAATTAAAACCTTAGTTATATTTAATTTTTTTTTTCAGTACTGGGAATTGAACTCAGGGGGGTTCTACCACTGAGCTATATCCGTAGCCCTCTTTTAGTTTTTATTTTGAGACAGGGTCTTGCTAAATTGCCCAGGCTGGCCTTAAATTTGTGATCCTCCTGCCTCAGCTTTCCACGTAGCTGAAATTATAGGTGTTAGTGATACTGTACCTAGCTGGATACATTTAATTTCTTGCTCCCCGCCCCCCACTTTTTAATTTTTTTTTGATAAGAGATTGAACCCACGGGTGCTTTACCTCTGTACTACATTCCCGGGACTTTTCATATTTTTCTTATATTGAGATAGGATCTCACTAAATTGTTGAGGGGCTCACTAAGTTGCTGAGGCTGGATTTGAATGGACGATCTTCCTGCCCTCAGCCTCCTGAGCCTCTGGGATTACAGACGTTTCCCTTTGCAGCTGGCAAAAATTCTGTCCTCAAGTATTATCGAAATTCTCCATATTCAACATGAAGAATAAAGTAGGATCATTTTCTGAGGAGGATGTAGGGAAGGGAATGGGGCTCTGGGGAAAGAAGACAGTGGCCAGGCAGTCATCATGGAGCCTGCCAAGCCAGCCTGGTGGAGAAGCAGAGCAGGTTCCTCATGTGAGGTTCTGGTTATCAATCAAGTCAGGTCCATTGATGGGCTGTTTTCTAGAAGGTGGAGATCAGGGTTTGGGATTAGTTGTCCACTGTTGTATAACAATTAACGTAACCAACATGCTTTCACAGGTGCATATTTGTTATCGCCCAGTTCCTGTGGGCAAGGAGTGTGGCACTGCTTAGCCTGGTCCTCAGGCTCAGAATCTCTCAAGGCTGCAACCAAGTGTTGGCCAGAATCACTGGAAGCTCCACAGTGGGCAGGGGGAGACACTTTCAGATTTATTCAGCTTGTTGATAGAATTCATTTCCTTGTACCATATGACAGGGCCATGGCTTTGAACCTGGATTTTTGCTGGCTGTCAGCTGCAGGCTGCCCCTAGGGCCTGAGTGGCCACCCATGGTCCTTTGCCATGTGGGCTTCTCCAACACCACCACTGACATGATCAAGTCAGCAAGCAGAGAAGGAGAGCCTCTCCCTCTCACCTAAGAGGGTTTTTTGTTTTTGTTTTGGTACCTGGGATTGAACCCAGGGGAGCTTAACCCTGAGCCACATCCCTAGCCCTTTCTATTTTTTATTTTGAGACAGAGTCTTGCTGAGTTGCTTAAGGTCTTGCTAAGTGGCTAAGGCTGGCCTTGAACATGCAATCCTACCTCAGCCTCCTGAGCTGCTAAGATTACAGGCGTGCACCACTGCACCTGGCTAAGGGGGCCTTAAATAAGGCCTCACCTTTGCCATGCGTGTAGCTGCATCACAGGATGACATATGACATCCCACACACTTGCCAGATTTTGTTGGTTAGAAGCAAGTTGTGGGTCCTGTCCACATCTGAAGGTAGGGAGTTAGACAAGGGCATGCACATGAGGAACTGGAGGTCATATGGGTCATGCTCAAATCTGCCCTATACCTGGTGGCTTCAGTGGAAGGAGATGGGATAAGGAGTGAGGCTGTTTGCAAGGGGTGATGACAAAGCTGAGGCCATGTGCCCTTAGCAAGGTGAGGAGGGAAGTGAAGCCAGGAAGAGACCAGATGCTGCTGAGCAGTGGTGGTCGGTGGAAGGACAGCTGAGCAGAGGGAGCTTAGGGAGGGCATGTGGTGGCTGGCTGGGGAATGGGGCAGCTGAAATCAGAATTTCTATTAGGAGCAGGTTTATATCAGGGCAGTGAGTGAATCTTGCTGAGTTGCCCATGCTGGCCTGGAACTTGGGATCCTCCTGCCTCAGCCTCCTGAGTCACTAGGATTACAGGAGTGCACCATCGTGCCTGGTGCATGTTCAGTTCTTCATAAATGTTATTGAGTGAAGGCAGATGAGTGGCCTTTATATCCTGGAGGGTTGGTGAGATGATACTGATAGGTCTGAGGCTAAAGTCTCAAGATATAAGCTAAGAGCTGTAGGCAGGCTTGGGAACCCTCCCTCCATTGTCTCAAAGGGGTGAACACAAGCCATAGCATTTAGTAGGGTGTACAACTTGGCAGTTAAGAGCTCTACCACTTAATAGCTGTGTTACCTTGGACAAGTTACTTAATCTTTCTGAGCTCTGTTTCCTCATCCATAAAATGGAGATAATGATGGAAGTGAAACCCAAATCACAGAGTTATGCAGATAGATTTTGCATGCAACGTACTTGGTCCAGTGCCTGTGTGTGGCAAGTGCTCAGCGATTGTTGGATAACGTTACATTACCTCTCTGTGACTATGGACATGCAATCAGACTTTCCTCTGTAGTCCAAACAAGCTTTGCCATTTTACTATTTTTCCAATCTAGGACAGATTGTTCTGTTTGAAATGTGATTCCGTTTCCTCATCTGCATAATGGAGATAATAATTTCTGCCCTGGCTCCCTTACCCATTTGTTGAAAGGCATAAGTGAGGTAACACACGGGAAAGCACTTTGAAATGGTACTTTGCTATACGATAGAAAGCATGAGTACTTTTTGTTCTTGACTGATTCCTTTTGGGGCTGCTGGAGTTGAAGGCAATAGGTGGTTTACTATTTTTTTTCTCTCCCTCTTTCTTCCTTTATTTCTTTCCTTTTTTCTTATTTCTTTCTTCTCTTTTCCCCCTGCAGTACTAGGGATTAAACCCAGGGGCACTCTATCTCAGAGTTACATCCCCAGCCCTTTTAAATTGCATGTGTGGGCAGGGTCTCCCTAAATTGCCCAGGCTGACCTTGAACTTGCAATCCTCCTACCTTGGCCTCCTGGGTAGCTGGGATTATAAATGTACATGACAGCATGTGGCTTGAGTTTGAGGACCAGGTGGGACAGCACTACCTCCCACTCTCCTGATTTAAAATAAAATTTTTAAAAGGATGAAGATGTAATTTAGTGGTAGAGAACTTGCCTAGGATCTGTGAGACCCTGGGTTCAATCCATAGTACTGCAAAAGAAAAATAAAATTAAATTAAAAAAAAAAAGAAATTGGTCTCTAAAATCTCTCTCTCTCTCTCTCTCTCTCTCTCTCTCACACACACACACACACACACACACACACACTCTGAACAATCAGACAATCAGAAACTTCTGAAGTCCCTGATTCCCTCCATTCCTCTCACCCTTCCAGGTAAGGGAAATGAAAGAGATTGTCTGTCAATATCATTTCACACTTATTTCAGAGAACAGGTCAACATGCAGTTCTCAGTCTCCTTTAGACTGACTAAGTTCTCATCTGTGGAATATAAATGGAGGTATATGTACTTACTTCTGAATCTAGGCTTTAAGATTTTGATCATGTCTCTACCAAATTCTTATCCCCTTCCTGCTGACTTGAACCCTGGGAGTCCTGACTTCAACCATGCAGGTACAAGAATGTTCTAGGGATGGTAGGGAATCAAGGTGGAAGGAATCTAGATCTTAGGATATCTGCACGGAGCAGAGCTTTCTTAACTGGAATGGTCACCAGGAAGTCACATGAGAGACAAAGGAATATCTTCTTTCATACAGAGTTATTACTAGGCCTCTTTGTTTTGTTTGGATTTTTCTAGTACTGGGAATTGAACCCAGGGTTGCTTACCACTTAGTTAATCCCCAGCCCCTTTTATATTTTGAGACAGGGTCTGGATAAGTTGCTAAGGCTGGCCTTGAACTTGTGATCTTCCTGCCTTAGCCTCCTGAGTTGTGGGGATTATAGGCAAGCACCTCTGTGCCAGTCTCCACTGGACCTTTTTGTTACAGCAGCCAAGCCTAACCCTTACTAAACACAGGGGAGAAGAGTGTGGCAGACATGAAAGCTTCCCAAGTTAGCACAATGGTCTTCTCCACTAGACCTTGATGACCTGCCACAGAGAATCACTGGACTGTCATCCAAGGGGCAGCCTCAGAAGGAAGCAGTGCACTATATTGGTTAAGACCAAATTGGACAGGCCCAAGTTTGAATTTTGGTTAAAATGTTTATTAGTTTTGTGCACTTTGGATACTTTTAATAACAGATTGAGTCTGTTTCCTTTTGTGTAAAAGGATAATAGTACTTACAAGGCTATGTAAGGATTCTATGAGGGGACGTAGATCAAGGACTCAAAAATGTTTACTGTCGTTAATGTGATCAACTTACATTTGGTCCTGATTTTTCCTCTTGGAAAAGGAAGTTAATATTCTGAGTTTTCCACAAAGCCATAAATATTTAATATTTCCTAAATAAATTAAAAGATACTAAAGACTTCAACACACATATATTAGTCAGTCTTGTGTCACTAAAATTTAAATATCTGACACAGGCTACTCATGAGAAAGAGGTTTTATTAGGCTCACAGTTTTGGATGCTCAAGGTCCAAGATCAGGAAGCATGGGGAGGTAGGGAGGGAGGCACACTGAGTTGGCCTCTGGTAAGGGTGTGGATGATGACGAACCATGGCAGGAGCTTGAATAGAGCAGGTGGTCACACCTCTCACTGCTGAGAGAGAGACTGTTGTCCCACAATCCCCTCTGAAGGCACACCTCCAGTGACCTTGGGACTTCCTACTAAACCCCACCTCTTAAGGGTGCACCTCCCAACAGCAGCTCCCTGATGACCAAGCCTTTAATCACAACCTTTGTGGAGACCAGCCATACTCAAACCCTAACAATACATAACATTTCTTAAGTATCTACTATGAGCCAGGGACTAGGAAGACAGAGATACCCTGGTGGAAATCTGTTTTTTGCTTTGATCCTCAGAAAGCCTTTTTTCAGGATCATAAGCCAGAATCCAGTTCACCTAACGAATGGAAATCCACCTTAACTAGAAAAGAAATTCTGACTTTTATTTTAGTACTGTGGATTGAACCCAGTGCCTTATGTGCACTAGGCAAGCGCTTCACCACTGAGCTACATTCCAACTCGTTGTTGTTTTTTTTTAGTTGTTGATGGACACAATACCTTTATTTTATTAAGCTATTCATTTTTATGTGGTGCTGAGGATCGAACCTAGGGCGTCGCACGTGCTAGGAGGGCACTCTACCGCTGAGCTACTACGCCAGCCCCTATATTTCAACTCTTAATTTTTTTTTATTTTGAGGCAGGGTCTCACTAAGTTGCTCAGGATGGATTTGAACTGTGGTCCTCCTGCCTCAGCCTCTGTGGGATTACAGATGTGTCCTACCACACCGAGCTCAAGTTTCTTAAAATCCAATCTTGACAGACACCTGGAAAAACATTCTGTGCCTCCTGTTGCTCCCTGACTCAGCAGAACACTTGAGGATGTTTACAATTTGGACACAACATCCTTTCATTAAAGATATTAATGATATAGATTGATTGTTGCACGACCCAGGCACTACACGGAGGACTTTACATGTGTTGTCTCATTCCATTCACACCTAACCACAGGCACCATGCCGTAGCTCAGTTTTCTCACCTGTAAAATGGGGATATTTTATTTTCCCCACATTTTTTATTGGTGCATTATATTTGTACACACTGCTGTGATTTGTTGTTACATATCCATACATACACACGATATACAACATAACAACTTAAGTTGGCTAATAACACTTCCCAGCACTTCCCTGCTCAAAACGGGGACAATCTAAAAAAAAAAAAGCACTGGGAACAGTGTCTAACTAAAGTTACCTTTTACGTGACTGCATGACCAATGTAATTCTGCAACCTGTACACTCAGAAAAATGAGAAATTATATCCCATCTGATTCAAATGTATGATAAGTCAAGATCATTGTAATGTCATGTGTAACTAATTAAAACAAATGAAAAAAAAATTAAAGTTACCATTCAACTAACAGTAGCCATTAGTCCATCATCCCTGTTTTACAGATGAGAAAGTTGAAGTTCAAGGAGGTTAAGGAATTTGCCCATGGCTACAACTCATTAATAAAGGTCTAATAAGGAAGTCAGGCTTCAGTGCCCAAGCTTGCCCCTGAGGATCTGCATTCAACCTAGAGCCGCTCTACAGCTCCCTCCCCTGTATGAGCCTCTCTGACTTTCCACCTAAGGGGTCACTCTGCTGATGGGAAGCTTCCCTTCCTGCTCCTCTGGGAAGGCTTCCTTGTGCCCCTTCCCCGTGACCTCTCTAGGCAGAGGCACATACCGCCACTCTGTAGCTCTCAGCCTACTCCATGGGCCTCTCCACTCCCACCTCACCAACTCACACCTGAGAATACACTATTCCCCACACCCAAGAGCAACAGTGTCCCTGTCACCTTTGGCTCTGCCAGGCCTGGTTGGCATGGAGCAGACCTCCATGAATGTTTGTTGGATTTGTTGGGAGCCAACTCCAGCGAGGAGTCAAGCCAAGAGTGGAGAACAATACCTGCTGGCAGAGACAGCCTGCCTGACAGCATATACTCCAGAGTGGACATGCTCATGCCCGCCAGGGCCTCCTGACCATTTTGCCATGACTTCCAGTCCCTTGGCCCTGGCTCTTCCTTTGTCTCCTGCCTATCCCCAAAGTTAGCCAGTCATGGGGGTTACCCCTAGGGCAGCCTGTACCATCCACAGCATGAGAACAGGCTTTGCACCTCCTTAATTCATTTATTCAACAAAGATTCACGGGCACCACCAATAAGGCAGGCATAGGTCTGGGTCTTGGGTACAGAGTGGAGAGCAGACCATGTAGTCCCTGGTGTCATGAAGCTTACATTCCAGTGGAGGCAACAGTTAACTAACAAGGTATGTGATTATACATCTCCACATAAAGGTAAACAATAGTCAATTAACTATTCAAGCCCAGTAGTCAGGGAAGGCCTCTCTCAGGAGGTGATATTGAAGTCAAGGGTCTGAAGAACTTGGCCCTGCAAAGGGTAGGGAAGAGCATTCTGCGAAAAAGAGAACAGCATACACAAAGTCCTGGAAATGGGAGTGAGATTGCTATGTTGAGGAAATGAAGGCAGGTTGGGGCCAGAATCCAGGAGCAAGTTTTGGACTAAAGAAAAATGAGGCTGGAAGTGGGGTTGGGACCAGACCAAGAGAGAAAGAGTTTGGATTTTATCTTTAGAATAACCATGTAACAGCCAGACATAGCCAGTCTCAGCAACTCAGCAAGACCCTGCCTCAAAAAACAAACAAACAAACAAACAAACAAAAAAAAAAAAAAAAAAAAAAACCAATACAGGCTAGGGATATAGCTCAGTAGTAGAGTACCCTGGGTTCAATGACCAGTACCCCCCCCCCAAGAAAAAAATATATAACAGGGTATCAGAAGAAGAGTTTGGACCAGGGGTAATACAATGTGATCTGTGTATTCAGATTCTCTCTGGTTGCTGTTGAGAACTGTCAGACAAGGTAAGAGGGAAGGGAAGAGACTTTGTGGATTGGGACAGTGATCTGGGGGAGAGGTGATGTGGCCATGCCAGGGTGGTGGCAACAGGTCCAGACAGAAGTGGACAGACTCCAGAGACATTTAAGAGTCTATTGGAGTTTTCTCAAAAAACTCAAAAACTCTATTGGCTGTCTACAACACCCCCACAGTGGGGCGGGGTGAGGGGGGAGTTGGGGCACCTGGAAAGCTTGGGAATAGGGAAAAAAAAAAAAAAGGATCCCACTCCCCAGCCATGGGAACACACAACCACTTTCCCACAATCTCCTGAGGAGAATGAACTTAAGGCCCAAGATGCTCAAAGCGCCAGGCCATTTCCACTTCATTTCTGTGGTGGTGATGCACTGTTTAGAGCTGGGTACCTGCAACATGGAAATGTGTTTCCCACAGCCCAGGTAGCAGTGAATGCTGGGTTGGATGCTAAAGATGGTCCTAGCATCCTGGGAGCAGCAGGAGAGCAAGGAGGGGGAGATGGAGAAGTAGGGAAGTGTTGAGGGAGGAGCTGGGGAGTTCTTCCCATCCTGAGTTTGCCCCTTGTGAGAAATCTAAGTCTGGTCTTTGCCTCTGTCACCCTCTCTGTTCCCCTCTCCCCACTTTTGGGAGCCTGTGGATCTGACCTGCCTTCTCTCTATCCATCTTCCTCTGGCACATCCCCTGCCAGTGGGCCTCTCTCTGCAATGTCACCTCTCCTGGCTGAAGCACTTCTCAGAGGTTGCCACAGGACGGCAACCTCATCAAACTAGCTCTGCTTAGCAGTAAAAGAAGTACTTACCTCTTTCTCCCTCCTTGAGGAATTTCTCTTTTCAAAAGAGCTTTCTGGTCACTCAAATTGATCTCTGCCCCACTGCTCTGAAAGGGCCCTTTGCCTCCATGGTTTCTGAAAACTCTATTGATGGAGCCTGCTCAATGCAGCCTCTGGGGAAGGTGGTTCCATCAAAGGCTGGGGGTGAGAGAATCTTACCCCAGGGTGCAGGGGACATCAAAATATTTAATAACCAGTATGACATGCACACCAGTGAATTGCCAGCTCCAGGACCCCACAGCCTTGGGTCTGTCAGGCATTAACCAGATCATGGAGGTCCTGGGGAAATGCCAGGGAGGCACTCGTGGGAAGCAGTTGTTTACCAACAAGTTCAGAAGTGTTTCTGCACTTTATCAACTGATATGGCAATCCTGAAAGCAGGTTCAGTCTGCTGTTCCTCTGGGAAGGGTCGCTGGGCCATTTATTCCTTCTGTTAGAGGAAAATGGCCCAAGGCAGAGCTGGGGAATGGGAGCTGCCTCTGAGCAGAGCCAGCTGTGTGGAATCTGGGTGAACAGGCTCTCAGGCCTTTGACCCCCTGCGTGACCTTGAAGGGCCCAGATGCCTCTGAGTGTTCTTCCTTCTGCCCCTCCTCACGGTTATTTTTGTTCAGTCTGACAGCCCTTGGCTGTGGCAGCAGTCTGGGCTCTCTGAGCCGGATGCAAACCAGGCGGCTCAGACGTCTGGTGCTGAATCCCAAGAGGATGCCTCTCTGGGTGCCATCACGTGGTCCTTCCACACTGTGTCCCCATGGGGAAAGACCACACACCCAGGAGCTGGGTTCTCTATTCCTCAATCCTGACTCCTGCCTGGCAGTGAGGACACCCTGTCACAGAGCTTTGCCACTGCTCAGAAGCCCCCTGGCCTGGCTTTTTGAGCCAGATGTGAGCAGGGAACTCTTAGTCTCAAGGACAGTGGGTGTCTGCAGCTGGAGGGAAGTAGAGCAGGACCTGCTGGGCTTCCATCATCCAGGCTTGGTTGTAATAGAGAATGGTTTTGTCCTGTGGTTCACGGTGATGGGGTAGGCAGGGGCAGACAGGGTGCCCAAGAGACCTCTTAATGGCCTCTGCTCAGTTACCATCTCCAGGAAATGAGACAGACAGTATGTTCCAGTTCCTTGGTCTAGGATGGCTACAGCCAGTCACTGTTCCTGACTAGGGTCTGACCTCTCCATAGAGGCAGCCAGCCTTGGACCATGGCAAGCTTCATGGTTCAAGCTTCCACCCCAGACCCATGGTTCATGAATACTGGGCAGGAGAGGGGGCTGGGCACAGCTCTTAGGGGCTCATGAGGCACTATGACTCATCTGTGCAGGTGAGAAACGGGACGGAGCCTCTGAGATCAGAAGGGTCCATGGGAGCCGAGTGGACAGGCTGGGCTGAGCGGTGAGGAGGAGAGAGCTTCTGGTGGGTGAGGAAGGTGCTTTCACATAGAAGCCCATCCGGGAAGCAAAGCAGAAGAGGCTGCATCGTTTTTAGAGCTTCTGAAATAAGAACCTTTCTTGTGATCCTGGGAGCCTGGGGGTGGGGGAGTAAGCTCAGAAAGCTCCAATTTCAGTGATTTCAGAGACCCAGGAGTGGTAGAGCACAGCACCTGCAGGCCTCCCAGCTGGCCCTGTGGGAGATGGACTGGAGACTGGCACAGCCACATAAGCTGCGGAGCCCACAGCACCAGGGGGTCTTGGGGAGGAGGACTGCAGGAGGGGAACGGTGTGGCTGCTCCTGGCAGCCCTGCTGCTGGAGGCCATGGGAAGAGGGGCAGCTGGCCTCTCTGGGGGGCGGGCCCTCTGGGTGGAAGATGCCCCTCGACTGGGCAATAAATTCCTCCGGGCAGGCAGGATGGTACCAGTGGCCCTGCGAATGGGTGTGGTTCGGAGGGCTGGGATGGGGTAAGCAGGAGAGGAGGTGCTGGGGAGGACAGGACCAGGCACACTTCCCAGGATGGTGAGCTGGTTGCTCAGGGCTGGCAGCCCTGGACAACTATGGAAGAAAGACCAGGGCCAAGCAGGGAAAGCCAGGGGGCCAGCAGGCGTGGGCGAAGGCTCCATCTCAGCCGCGTAGCTGTTGAGGTGGGAGAGAAGGCGAATCCGGACAGGGTCTGCTCGGCTGCTGGGCCCTTCCAGGACCCCCAGGTACCTGATGACCTCAGTGAGGCACTCGCGAAAACCAATGCTCCTGAAGTCAACTGCCAGGGCTCGGGCATCAAAGAATCCTGAAAAGTGAGGCACCATGAGGGCATGCTGGGGTGGGGGGACAGGCAACCCAGGGTCAGACGGTGTTCTGAACATGCCCCTTCCATTCACTCCCTGGGTGACCTTGGGCATGTTCTCTCACCTCTCTGAGCCCCCATCTCCCCGTTGGTAAAGTGGGAATAAAAATCTCTACTTGGAGTCGGGTGCAGTGGTGCATGCCTGTAATCCCAGTGGCTCAGGAGGCTGGGGCAGGAGGATCTCAAGTTCAAAGCCAGCCTCAGCAAAAAAACAAGCTGCTAAGCAACTCAGTGAGAGACCCTGTCTCTAAATAAAATACAAAATACTACTTAGCTGGGGATGTGACTCAGTGGTTGAGTGCCCCTGAGTTCAATCCCTTGTATTCTCTCCCCACCACACTCACACACATAAAAAACAAAAAAACCTTTACTTGGGATGGTGAGTTGTGAGGATCAAAATAATTAAGTAAACTATGCAACATTATTAAATAGATTGCTTTCATCACAATTCATAAGTAATGCAAAAAAGAAACTCTGTGACCAAGTTCACTTAATTAAGTAGTTGCTGACCAGATGTGAAAAGACCGTGCCTGTACAGGTATACAATAACCTGTCTGCTAATGGGGGTAGATTCAGGGAGGGGAGGGAGGAGGTGATAGCAGCCATTAGAGCTTGGCGGCCCCTTGGAGGAGGCAACAGAGTGTAGCAGTGAAGCATGAAGTCTTTGGAAGCCAGGCTAGCTGGGTTCAGATCCAGACTCCACTACTTAGCTAGCTGGCTGCCTGACTGGGCAAGTCTCATCTCTCCTGGCCTCAATCTCCTTAGCTCTAAGTGGGCAGACAACTGTTCTTGAAAGTGAAGTGAAATGGTTCACAGAAAATGTTCCATAAACAAAAAGTTTGCTATCACCTATATCTCATGCTGCATTTGTTTGTCCCCCCAGCTTAAAAGGTGGTCCAGCACTCAAGATCTGATCCTGACCCTCAGTAGCTGCAGCAGGCCAGGGGCCCTCTCTTTGGCCTGATGTCAATGAGGGTCAACCAGATGGACTGTCCCTGCAGGCATTCAAACCCTCATTGTCTCTTCACACCTGTCACTCTCTCCACCACTTATGGGCAAAGACAGAACAGCTCTGGCCGGTACTGTCCTCATGACTGGCAGCAAATATCTGGGCCCTAGTTCATGGTTTAGGCTCCTCCAGAGGGACGGCTTGGCAGGAAGACTGTGTTTGGTGTGAAGCCAACTTTCATATAAGACCTGGCTCTGCTGGATATTTAGCTATGTAACTCACAAATCCCTTTACCTGAGTGTTTTGTTTTGTATCTGCAGCACTGGAGATTGAACCCAGGGTCTTCTTGCACATGCTAGAGAAGTGCTTTACCAGTGAGCTACAACCCTACCCCTTTTAAAATTTTTTAGTGAGACAGGATCTCACTAAATTGCCCAGGCTGGTCTCAAACTTGTGATCCACCTGCCTCAGCCTCCCAAGTAGCTGGGATTACAGGTGTGTGTCACCACACCTGGCTTCACCTTGATGTGTTTGTTGCTCTTTTAAAATTAATATCCGCTGAATTTTTACTAAGTACTTCATTGTATTATTTAATATAATCCTCATAAGCTCTATTGTTATCTCCATTTTGGAGATGAGGAAACTGAGGAAGAGAGAGGTTAAATCATTTATATGAGGTCATAAAGCTAGTAAGTAGAAGAGCCAGGATTCAAATCCAAAGCCTGTGTTCTCTCTAAACCACAATTCCCTGTCTTCCCATTATTCCTGAGCCAGAAAGTAGTGAGGACAATCCCACTCTCCTGGTTTTCGTGAAAAGCAAAAGCAAAAGCATTTTGAAAGCCATTGAATGCTGCCCACATATTAGTCACAACTTTTTTTAAAAAAAAAACAACAGGATAACAGGAGTCGTAATTTGAAATATCTCCCCTATGAAAACTTAATAACAGAAATCTCCACTGTTAGCAATGCATTCCTTTAACAGAAGTTCTCAAAAGCAAGGATCACCTGCATTAGGTTTACTGGGCAGGCTTGTTAAACTTGCAAATCCCTAAACTCCACTCCAGATCTACTGCCCCAGAATCTCAGCAAGGTGGCCCAGGAATCCCAGGTGTGGGAAGCTCCAGGTTGGGCTACTTAAAATGCAACTGTTGGCTGGTGCAGTGGCACATGCTTATAATCCCAGCAACTTGGGAGACCAGGGCAGGAGATTCACAAGTGTGAGGCCAGCCTCAGCAACTTAGAGAGACCCTGTCTCAAAGTAAAATAAAAAGGAATGGGGATGTGGCTCAATGGCAGAGAACCCCTGGGTTCAATCCCCTGTACTACACACATACACACACACACACAAAACGAATAAATAAATATAAATAAAAGAAGAAGCAGCAGCCACTGTCCCTGTCCTCTTCCAGGGTAGCAGGTTACCTTTGGGACTTAAGTCTTTGTGGCCAATGTTTTTCAAGTTTCCCAAATATAAAAACACCAAACAGAGAAACTTCGGGACATATTTCTTTTTGTCTGCAAGCCTTTTTAAAGCCACAATTCCATGATTTTATTGTGGTGGACTAGTTTAGAATAACCAAATGAATGACATTTATGTTCTACTACAATCCTGACACCTGCTGTGATCAGGGAGTATCCCCACAACACTGCCCAGGACATAACAGCAGGCCAGAAGTCTAGACCTACAGGAAGTGACACCAATGAATCTCCTGTGGCTAAGAATTTCAGGCAGGTCTCTCCCAGGATTTAGGAGGGCCACAGAGTGAGACCCCAGTGAGAATTAACTCCCTGAGGCTACTCCTTAGTGAGGCCCTGGGGGTAAGTTTGTTCCACTTACCACAGGGGAATAGTTTTTTACACAGAAGACAGATCCTCCAAGGTCTAAGACTGGAAAGATCTGAGTTGAGGAAAGGGTTGGGAAAAACAGAGACACTGGAAGTGGGGAAGAAGATGCTAAGAGACAAATTTGGTGAATATTCAACTGGGTTTGCTTTAGCCCCTCTGGAGACCGTGAGCTCCAGGGGGGCAGACACCATGTCTACTTGGCTCATCACATATCCCCATGGCCCAGCCTGAAAATATTTGTCGTGCAAATGATTCCCAAAAGAGAAGAGCATTGGTACCTGTCCCACCAGTGGCATGGAGCATTTTCAAGTGATCCACCGTCATCTGCAAGACCTCAGCTTTCTCCAGCTTGGAAGAACCCTGTAGGTACAGAAGGCAGGGAGATGCGGCTCCAGCTGACTTCTGTCGCTCTCCTCCTCTGCCCATTATCATGTCTTGATTTTCTCAACTCTTCCTGGTTTTCCCACCACTCGCATTCAGGATCCTGCTTTGGCCAAGATCTCCAAATCTCAGAGATGCTCTTTATTTCTCACCTCAGTCTTCCTGTCTGCAGCACCGCTCAGCTTCCTTTCTGAAACCTCTTCTCCCTGGACTGCAGCAACACCTCTTCTGCTTTCTCCTTTCACTTTGCCTCTTGCTCTGCCTGTTCCTTAAATGGGTGCTTCCCCCAGTGGGCACTGGCCTACTTCTCTTCCAGCTCTGCCTGCTCTCCTCCAGGATCTCATCCACCTCTGTGGATTCATCCCTCACCAGAATGCCACTCAGACATCCCCACCTGCCTCCCAGAGCAGTGCTCCTGGGAATACAAGATCAGCCTCAGCGTGCTCAATCCCTAGCTCATCATCTTAGTTCCAGAGCACTTGCTCTTCCCCTGTTCTTTCTTGGGAAATGTCTTCTAAGCTCACAGACCACCTGGCCTCTCACAGAAACCTCAGGGTCAGACACTCTACACAACACCTGAGGGCAGACACCAGGTCTAGTTCATGGCTGGTCCTGTGAAGGTTTCAGTGAACATATGTGAATGACTGAAGGAAGGCAGACGACCTGTGACAGGTGCCTTTGAGCCTAGGGGAAGAATCTTTGAAGCTGTTGCTTCAACTGCCTGACTCCTCGCTGTAGTCCCCCCACCGCAACATGTTCATGATAGGCACTCACTCCCTGAGCAGCCTACTCCACTTTCAAACAGCTCTGGAAATGTCAGGAGACAGTCACATAGTCCTGTGCTCTGACTCTACTCTGCTCCTTGCTATCTGGGTGATCTAGTCCAAGTTACTTCTTTCTCTGCTTCAATTTCCTTACTTGTGCAATGGGCAGAACAATTGTTACTCTTCAGGATCATTTTTAGGATTCCATTCAAATGGACGTAAAGCCACAATACCTGAGGCACCTCACCAAGCATGAATTTTCATTCCCTTTGTCCCCTAGCCGGTGACAGATATTCAGACATGATCACAGCACCTCAGGCAGCTGCTACCCTTCAATAAGAGATACCATGGGAAACAAACCCTATCTGCCATCCACCCAGTATTTCCAGTGGCACAATCGACAATGTCACATACCTGTTTCTCAAAGGCAGTGGGGACTAAGCGCCGCAATTCAGAAAGGCTGCTGTTTATGCGATCTCGACGCCGTTTCTCTATGATCTGAAAAGCAATGACAAGATGTAGGCACTTGTCATGGTTTCCAATGTACCTTGATGAATGCTGATTTATATCTTTTCTCACAATATTGTTGTGAGCAAGTTAATGTTTTACCTTTTTTTTTTTTTTTCCAGTGCTGGGAATTGAACCCAGGGGCTGTCACATGCAAAGCAAGTGCTCAACCACTGATCTACAACCCCAGTCCTTTAAAGGATTTTTATTTTGAGATAGGGTCTTAATACATTGATCAGGCTGACCTTGAACTTGAGTTCCTATTACCTCAGTCTACTGAGTAGTTGGGATTACAGGCATGTGCTGAGGCATCTGGCAGAAGTAAAACTATTCTTGCTTTATGGAGAAGGAAACCAAGGCCCATAGAGGAACTATAATTTGCTTAAGGTCACAGAGCAATACAGTGCAGCTCAGATCTCTTACTTTAGTCTGTAAGAGTGATATGCAAATTGTTCAGGCACTGGTACTGCAGGACACCAACAAAATGGGAACACCAGCCACAACATTGAAGCTGGCCCTGGGGGCCCCTGTTGGGCCAGGGTTACCCCTTCAGTTGCTGGGTCAGAGGCAGTCTGAAGAGCCCTAGGTATTGTTCTCTCCAACTGTAAAGGGCTCATTCACACTATCTGCTCCCTCACAATCCTGGTAGCAGGCCAGGCGTGGTGGTGCCCGTCTTTAATCCCAGTGGCTCAGGAGGCTCAGCAGAACCCTGAGCAAGACCCTGTCTCAAAATAAAATATAAAAAGGGCTGGGGATGTGGCTCAGAGGTTAAGTGGCCCTTGGTTCAATTCCCAGTACCAAAAAAAAAAAAAAAAAAAAAAATCCTAGTTGCAGAGTACTCATAGTAGGGCAGAAATTGTGACGCCCTCCTACCCTCATATATATATATATATATATATATATATATATATATATATATATATATATTTTTTTTTTTTTTTTTCCTAGAGAAACTCAAAAAGCTGAAGGTAGAAGTGAGAGGCACAGCTGGTCTCTGCCAGACGCCAGGTCTCTGGATTCAGAATGCAAAGCACAGCTGCATCCTGGGATGGGGGACTGAATACGATGGACAGCAGCAAGCAGCAAGCCTCCAGATTCCCAGTAAGCAGGAAACTGCTTTCCCTCCTTAGCACTGAAAAGAATGGAAAGCTTCAGGGTCCAAAAAGGGACCGAGATAGGGTAGAGGAACAAAAATAAGAACAGCTGATTGTGTGTTGGGTATTGCTCTGCATTGCTCCAGAGAGCACTGCATTAATACACTTCACCTTCAAGCCAGTTATTTGGGGGCAGGTATTGCTCTTATTTCAGTTATACCAATGAAAAAATGAGGCACAGAGAAATTAAGTGACTTGCCCCAAATGTCCCGAATAGTTACTGGCAGCGTCAGGATTCAAACCCAGGCAGTTATCTTGGGGTGATGTTTCCGAACGGGTTTATGGACCAACAGATTCTGGATCAACCTTGTCTGGGCCACTCCACGGCTGAGAAAGGCACTCACCCCTCTGCGTTTCTTCCTGGCTTGCATCTGCGAAGGGCTGGGAGAGGACAGCGGTCTGGCCATCTGGCTGAGGAGGAAGAGAAAGGCTGGTTTCTCAGAGCTCGGGGACCATCTTCCTGGCCTGGGCTGACCTGGGAGGCAGGGCCGTTTTCAGGCACAGCCCCCACCCGCGCGGCCACTGGCTCCCAGACAGGGAAAAGCCGCAGGGCAGGCGTGGGAGGGGGCGTCGGCTCTCCCTTTTTCCCTCAGGGCCCATTTCTCTGCCGGCCAAGTCCTCCCAAGTACTCTGAGCTTCCTGCCTCCGAGCCTCGCGCGGCCGCTCAGACTTATCTGGACCCCGACCTGGTCGCCCCTTGTCCCTCTTCTCTTGCGGCCGTCGGGGAACCGCGAACTGTGGCGTGGCTGCTGGGTCCTGCAACCCGATTCCGGAGGCGGGCCGGCGGAGGGCACGGGCCTGCAGTGGCCGGGCTGGGGCCGGGGCCGGGCGGGTTGGGTTTCAGAGGGAGCCGCTGGGAAGGAGCGTGGAAAGAGTAGATGCCGCCGCTTCCCACGGGCCGGCGCGCCGGCCGCCCGCCCTCTGCCTGGCCCGCAGCTGCTGTCGCCTCCCACGCGGCGCGGCCGGGGGTTGGGGGGAAAGGGGGAGGCGGCATCTGGGTCACAGGCCCCTCTTGCCTGCTCCCGGACACTGTTTTGGCCTCCCAGAAGGCTCTGTCCCCCTTAACCTCGGCCTCCCTCCCACCTGGGACCTTCTTTTGCCGCCCTGGTTGGATGATGGATGTTTGTTCCCATCCCGGGATTTCCCACTATAGAGAAGAGGCTCAGACCCAGGGGGTTTCCTGCCCAGACTTTTACCAAAATAATCTCCAACCCAGCAGCTGTCTTCTCAACAGGTTTCTCGCCAGAGGCTCTCTGAGAATGGAGAGGTTCTCTGGGAGGCACTGAGGTATCTATTCTTGGGAGGCCCTATTAGGGCCCAAGGCCTGGGCTGGATTCCTGAACTGGCCTCAGCCCTCCAGGTGCTCAGCTCCACAAACAACTTTAGACAATCCCCTGCCGTTTGGGGATGCCAAAGGTCACACAACTTAACAGGAACCCACGAGCTTGACTTCACCTTACACCTGCTCCTTGACCCCCTGGGTTTCCCATCTCTGAGAAAGCATACAGCTTTGAGGTCTGCAGGCAGACACCTGGTATTGTCTTTGATTCTTCCCCCATCCTCACCCCTATCTCACCAAGACCTGCCCATTCCATGTCTAAAATACATCTCATGTCTGTCCTCTTTATCTGGATGGCTCCTCTCAGGACCACACCCCTATCATTTCTCACTGGAGGACTCTAAGAGCCTCCTGTTGAGTCACTCTTTTAACCCACACTTCTGGCAGAGTGATCATTTAAATGCAGATTTGATCTTGTCACTCTTCAGTGGCCAAGCTGACTCTCCTCACCTCTTAGACCCAACTAACTCTTGCTCTGTGTGCTCCAGTCTGTACTAACTCCTTTCTGCAGTTGCATATACTGTTCTCCTAGTCTAGAAATCTCCAGTCCACCCAGTCTCCCCACCCTAAGCTGCAACCCCTTTGCCTAGTAACTTCAACCATCTTTTATATCTCAAACATCACCTCTCTTGGGAGCCTTTTCTGACATCTATTCTCCTGCTAGATGTCCCCTGCTCTATACTCTCCCAGCTTCCTGAATTCACGGCATTTATACCACTTTGTTGTTTTATATTTATATGGTTATTTGATTAATGTTTCTCTCTCCAGCAAAAACATAAGTTCCACAAGGCAACAGATCATGTCAGTTTCATTCACTATTGTAGCCTGAGTTCTTGGCAAGTGGAACTTGGAACTCTGCAGAGCTCATGGTAGAGCTTCTTCCTCCTGTCCTCATCTTTGCATCACTGAAGAACAGAGATATGCATAAAAATCTATGTTTTAGACCTTTGTGGAATGTGAGCATATGTGGCTCACCAGAAGAGTTCCACCTATGTGACTATACTCTTGGGATTTGAGATTGGATCATTTTCATCAACACCTCAAAGACTGAAGACTGTAAGAGAAACCAGATAGCTTTGGTCAGATCCTACTGCTATGCCCTGGCTTTGTCCGGCCACATCTGGAAAAGTATATCTCCCACCCAAACATTTGGCCAAGCAGAACTGGTAAGAGGCCTGGGGAGGCTCCTGGGAGGCAGGGCCCAGTGAGCTAGGTCCAGGGCTCAGATGGCTAGATCCTGAGATCTGTAGGTCTGTAGGGCAACTTGTTTTCAAAGCTTCTCTGGTTCACTGGGGACAAGCCCCAAGAGCCAAGGTACACTAAGAAACACAGTCTTTGTTCCCCTTTGCTGGATAAAGCATCTCTGGGGGGTATTGGGTTAGTCTTATGCACGTCACTGCCTCTCAGCCTGATCCCTCCTCAGGGACCATCTGTCAGAGGCTGACGCACCCATTCCAGGGCAAGGCAGGTCCGCCGTCCCTTTTTTCAGTCTTCTGGTCAGTTTTTCTCTGCAGCATGACCTGCCCTTTCCCTATATCTCAAAAGCAAACCTTGCTATACAGTTTTACTGATGCTACTACATGTATTTCTCTCCTTTGATCCTTAGGAAAGTGCCATTTCACAGATGAGGATGCTGGACCTCAGGGAGCTAAAACAGCTTGCTCAGCCCACACAGCTGCTAAGGAGCAAAGCCAGCATGGGAATCCATGTCTTCTGGCTCCCAATTCAGCATTGTTTCTCTCCTAAGCCCTACTTCCTGTCTGTCTGAATAGTCCTCCAGTCCCCTTATCCTTCAAACTCCCAGCCAATGCTCATTCCGGCCTGTGATCTTGCCCTGACAGTGGGAGGAGGGGTGGCAGCCTCTCCCCTGAGAGTCTGAAAATAAAAAAGATTTTCATGAACCCAGAGAGGATATGATGACCATCAAGATCTGCTCCATGGCCCTCTAGGAGGCCCCAGCCAGAATTCCACTGCAGTGTCTCTGGAGGCAGGGTCAGCTTTCCAGGTGGTCCAATTGCCAGTCCTGACCACTCTCAGCACTGATTCCCAGCAGAATCCTTGCAGATGACCCCGCTCATTTTGCGTCAACCAAAGGAGAATCTCAACGTTCCCAAAAGTGAATTTTGGAAAGTACTAAGCCCATTTGTAAAATGAGAAAACTTAGAGATGGGAAAGGATCTTTCCCAAGTTACATAGCAAATGAGAGGAATATCCAGAACTAGAGCCAGCTCTACTGCTTTTAAACCAGTGCTCTTGCTAATATACCCCAAATATTCATCATCCCATCATAACCAGTACTTTTTGTTCTAGAATGCACTTCTATGTTTGTCTGTCTCATTTGTTGCATAAAAGCCCTCTGAGTTCATTATTATTTGGGCCGTTTCACTTTTAGAAGAAGTGATCATTTCATAAGTGGGGTGACAGACACACTCAGTAATTTCAGTCTTTGGACTTCCAGTCTTTTCATTAGAGCATGCTGCTTCATGAGCATGCGCCCACCCCATTGCGACCCCTTAGAGAGCAGCATTTACTGGAAGTTACCTTGTGCCTAAGCAAGGAGCTGTGTGCTTTACATACAAACAACCTCATCAAAGCTTCAACCTGTGAAGCAGTATTGGCACCCTGTTTAGTGAGAGAGAAAACTGAGGTTCAGAAAGGGTAGAGTCACTTGCACAAGTAAATGGTAAGGAGAGTCAAACTCAGGCTTATCTAACTTCAAAGGCCACCAGTCCTTAAATCACGTGGGAACAACCCACAGAGCCTGACATGTGACGGGTGCTTATTACATGTTTGCAGAAGGGTAGGGGAGAGGCTGTATACACTTTAGACCTAGAATATGTCCGGGAGCCAGGTTCAGCCAGAAGTTTGGTGGGTGATTCCCAAGGATGGGGCAGATACCCCAGCGACAATGGAACACACCCTATTCTTCCCTCTCATATCTCAGAGTGTGGGGGATTTGTGCCCTGCCACTGACCCTGGCAGGCTGCTGCCCCAGCCCTGTGGCCCTTGTCACTGTTTATCTGGCTTTCTTTGTACATAAAGCTCTTCTTCCCTGAGAGTTCCCTGAGGGCAGAGCCTGAGCAGGATACATCTGGGCCCCGATGCCCAGCCCAGGGTCTGGGCCACAGCAGGCATCGTTCAGCAGTCCCTGAATTGAAGCATTTATGTCTGCTGGGGGGAGGGCCTTCTGGGGAGTGCTACAATGAGGCATCTATAAGTCAGTTTCTGCCAGATGTCCAGCTGCTTCCCTCCTCGGAGGGGTCTGCTCTTCTAAGAACAGGCTCTAAAATTGGAGTTTGGCTGAAATGACAAAATGCTGTGGAGGAAAAAAAACTGTACTGACCCTTTATGCCTTAGCTCCAATACACCACCTTCAAGAAGCCCTCACTGCCATCTTTGGTTATGAGTGACCCCTCCCCATATAGGAATCCCTCTCTCTTTTCATTCTGTTCACAGTCTTTGTGTGATCTGGTAGTCACTGCCCAGGCTGCACACTCATGGAGAACAGAAGCCAGCTCTGATAAACCTAGATCTCTGTTATCAATTTTGTGCCTCTGACCCATGAAGACCCACTGAATTTGAGACCCCTCCACCACCACCACCTGGTGTTGGGACCTTCTCCTGCTGGCAGGACAGGCTCAGAGAATTGTTTCTCTAAACAGCAATTTCTGCTAAGCAATTTAAAAAGGCTAATATGTTAAGCTCGGTGTGGTGGTATACTCCTGTAATCCCAGCAACTCAGGAGGATTCAGGAGGAGGATCACAAGTTTGATGGCCAGCCTCAGCCACCTAGGGAGACCTTCCCTCAAAATGAAAAAAATAAAAAAGGCTGGGAATGTAGCTCAGTGGTAGAGCACCTGCTTAGCCTGTACCAGCCATTGGTTCAATCCCCAGCACTGGGTGGGGGGGAAGGCTAATATGTTACATAGGAAATTATATGATACAAAATCCAAACCAAACATAAGATGTAAGAGGGATATCTAAAGTCCTATCACCTATTATAAGCTATTAATAATTAGTAGTTGGTGGAGTTTCACTAGGATGTGTGTGTGTTAAGGAGGTACTAGGTCTCAATCCAGGATCCTTCACACTCTTGGCAAGCACTATACCACTGAGCTATACCCCCAGCCAGGATCTGTGATTGAGGCAGGCTCTCCCGGCCTCAGAAAACTAGAGAGCTTTGAACTTATGAAATGCCTTTAGAAATACCCCTAGAAAGGAACTGACTCTCCTTCTGTTCTAGAGAGTCAGGTTTGGATGAGCTAAGAGACCTGAGGTTGTTTTCCCTTTCCCACTCCCATCCTCCTTTATTTTACTGATGAGGAAACAGGCTCAGACAGGGAAACCGATGGCTCAAGGATACATGGTGGTAGAGCACTTGCTTAGCATGTGTAGGGCCCTGAGTTCAATTCCCAGCACTAGAGTGGGGGACTGTTGGGAGTGAGGGATAGGGGTGGAGGGGGAGAAAAAAAAGAAAGAAAGGAAGACAACATGGTGAGTTGGTGGCAGATGTGGGGCTGGGATCCAGGCTGGCAGATTCCCAGTCAGTCCTGCAGTTCTTTCAGGGTGTGTGTCTGACACTAAGCATTTGGTGATCCAGGGACATTAGGCCCTCTACTAAGCATTAGGCCCTCTACTAAGCCCGTGACATACATTTTCTCATTTGATTTTCCCACTAC